AGGCCTGCTGACTTCTGTGTAACCTGAGCATAGGCCGTCTCTCTCAGGGGTAGAACCTCTGCTCTGAGGGGTCCCCAATCCTTAGGGAAGTCTTGGCAGGAGTTTGAGGCCCCAACAGACGGAGGACATGTTTGGAGATGAAGCCGGGAGGAGCTTGTGACCACCAGACATAGCCCTCCATGGTCTTTGAAGGACTCGACACCAACCCGGAGCCCTGATGATGTCGGGGGCGTTCTCTGCTCTGCCACTTAGCATGGGAGTATTACAGAACAGCCAGAGAGCCCCCAAAATGGAAGAGAGAGAGACACAGGTTTTCCACCCACGAGAAGTGATGGCTGAAGAGATGGAAACCCAGATGAGGTATCCTGTTTGGGCTGGAGGGGGAATATAGTTTGCAGTTGAACTATGACGACTGTACCCATAAAGGGTGTCTTTATTTTAGGTCAGAACTGGAGGTTGGCTAAATGACCATCCTTAAGACTTTCTACCTGACTGTGCATGTGAAGATTTGCCCATTAAGAGGATCAGCATTAATTGTTGCCTGCATCGGTCACACCTCATGCACATGGCTTCTGCTGCGAATAGCAAACACTGGTTCTCTTTGCGTGTGGGCCGAAAGTTCTCCAAGGATTGGGCGACTGGGCTGCCCTCAAGGTTCTGTCCCAGGGACATACCATCTGACTGAAAATGGAGCCTCATGTGGCAGAAGACCAAGTCTGTGAGGTTAAGGGATGCACTGGAGTTATGCTGTAACTTGATGAGTTATCTGAAAGAATAAATAATATTGATAACACTGATTGGGGAAAATTCATCACTTCCTTCTCCCCCTAAATCTTTCAGCCACTAGATGTCTCTGTCTTGAGTTCCAGGCCGGGGGCCTGGTAAACAGTAGAGACCAAGCTGGAACTGGAGCTGTGGCTGGGAATGCCTGTTTGCAGTTTATCATGGGTGAAATTGACTTCACATTTAACTGACTATGTGTCACTTGGGAGCCTCGAGGACCTGAAAGTGGTAGTCACATGCAGCAGGCAGTATACGTCAGCATACATTGAGTGAGGAGGACTAGTTGCATCAGGATTGTTGTTTGTCTTGTCTGAACAGAAAACAGAGCCAGGACACTCCAGACTTCCGCACTACAAGTTCCCTTCTGAGGCAGACTCCAGGGAGGTAGTAAGAGGATTACAAATACAAGGAGTCATTCCGAACTCCAAATAGAGCATCTTTCGCACAAGATCGCAGTCCCTGCTCTTCCCGTCTGGAATACCCAGGTCTCTTCCCCACCAGACTCCAATTGAGGAGAGACAGTAAGAGAGTACAAACATCAGCTGATCCTGGCTTCCAGGTAAGCAAAACCCCCCTCCAGGGAGGTAGTAAGAGGATTACAAATACAAGGAGTCATTCCGAACTCCAAATAGAGCATCTTTCGCACAAGATCGCAGTCCCTGCTCTTCCCGTCTGGAATACCCAGGTCTCTTCCCCACCAGACTCCAATTGAGGAGAGACAGTAAGAGAGTACAAACATCAGCTGATCCTGGCTTCCAGGTAAGCAAAACCCCCAC